ATTACAAGAAAGCCTGTGACTCAATGCCACATACTTGGATCATTGAATGCTTGGAGCTATACTACATCAACAGGACTCTAAGAGCCTTCATTGCAAACTCAGTGTGGTTGTGGGAAACCACCCTTGAGGCCAATGGCAAGGCACATGCAGAGTCTCCATCAAATGTGGAATATACCAAGGAGATGCGCTGTCCCCACTGCTGTTCTGCATAGGTCTGAACCCCCTCAGCCCAATAATCAACAAGACTGGCTACGGATAACGACTCAGGAACTGGGCCACCATCAGTCACCCCCTCTACATGGATGACATCAAGTTGTGCGCTAAGAATGAGCGAGACATTGACCCACTGATCCATACCACCCGGATCTTCAGCACAGACATCGGGATGTCATTCGGACAAGAGAAGTGTGGTCGGATGGAGACTAAGAGAGGGAAGGTAGTCCACACAGAGGGGGGTCTCGTTCCCAGAAGGAACAATGGCAGACATTGAGGTCAGCTACAAGTACTTTGGAATCCCACATGCAAATGGCAACCTCGAAGAGGTGACAGCGAAAGCGGCTATGGCCAAATACCTCCAACGAGTAAGGCAGGCCCTAAGGAGCCAGCTCAATGGCAAGAATAAGTCTCAGGCAATAAATAGCTATGCTCTACCAGTAATCAGATACCCTGCAGGAATAATAAGCTGGCCAAAGGATGAGATACAGGCGACAGATGTTAAGACACGAAAGCTCCTGACCATGCATGGAGGGTACCACCCCAAATCCAGCACCCTGAGACTGTATGCTAGCCGAAAGGAAGGTCGAGGACTAGTGAGCGTAAGAGCCACTATCCAGGATGAAACATCCAAGATGCATAAGTACATCAAGGACAAGGCTCCAACAGATGACATCCTCAGTGAATGGGAAAATAGAATGGGGAACAGAAGATGAGGTGCCAGAGACTCCGTCAAGGGAGATTAAGCCTCTACACGGGATGGACCACCAAAACATAACCGAAGTGGCGGATATCAGGAAATCCTACCAATGGCTAGACAAAGCTGGACTGAAGGGAAGCACAGAGGCACTTATCATGGCTGCAAAGGAGCAGACCCTAAGCACCAGAGCAATAGAGGCCTGGATCTACCACACCACTAAGATCATACAGATGTGTGTTTCTTGTATAATTTCAAAAATAAATCATGTCTCATTTAGCAAATCAATGAAAAATGAACGGATTTCAGTATAATTTGACTTCCTAACTTTGTAGTTTTTGCACAGTTTTTTCTTGCTTCCTTTTCCTTAGTGTCCCTAGGAGGTAGAGATAGTTGCCATATGTTTATATATTAGCAGCTGTTTTAAATTAGGTTTTTAAGCATCAGAGGTCTTTAAATCAAAGAGTTTCTGTTTGTTCTGCCCAACCACCAGGCAGAGGGAAGGTTGACCTGCAGGCCTACCTGAAGCAGTGGCAGAATGAGATCCTAAAGAAGGAAGAAACCATCAAGGACCTGCCAAGAATTAATCAGGTGATCCATCTAATCATCTGGTTAGGATGCTTCACAGTAAAAACAAACCCTTCTCTAACATTCCCATCATCTCCCACCTCAGGCTCAGTTCATCCAGTTCTCCAAGACCCTCTATAATATCTTCCATGGTGATCCTGAGGAGGAGTCGTTGTACCGAGCCGTCGCCCACGTCACCAGCCTCCTCCTCAGGATGGAGGAGGTCGGGCGGAGGCTACAAGAGCCGAGCAGCCCGCGTGCCGGCAGCACCGCCTCTGTGGAGGCGTCTTTAACCGAAGAGGAGACTTCAGACGCCTCCAGTTCTCCCAGCAGCCAGGATGGGGCGGCGCGGCAGCCTGAAGTGGACTGGTCGTTTTCCTTCGAACAGGTCTTGGCCTCGCTGCTCAACGAGCCGGTCATAGTGGGCTTCTTTGAACGGCCGGTCCACATTCAGGGCAAACTGGGACAGGCCCGGGTGGCCCAGCTCAGGCTGAAGGCCAACAAGTGAAAATCTGAGGGGAAAGTTTGTTTCTGACGTTTAATCCACTTCCTCTGCCCAGATCGGATTCTGACGCTACGGTGGGTTTCCTGCCTTCATTTCACTGACGATCCGACGTAAACAGACACTAGGGTTGGATCACTGACCCCCACCAGGATGAGGGCTGCTCCTCAGGCCTCATCAAACATTTTCACCTCATCTAGCTCAGATTTAAGACCTTATATCATATAAACACCTGAAAAGTCTATAAAGTACTTAGACTAATTTAGATCCTAATTCTGAATATTTTCATGTGCGCTTTCATTCAGATTAGTAGTTACTGCTTCTAGTGAAGCCGCCGTGTGTGATCGTTTGTCCCGTGACCTTATAGTTACGTTCAAAATGCAAACAGCTTGATGTGAAAAACACCAGCTTAGATCATAGTGACTTAGAGCAGCAGTAGAGCGGATAGAGGACCTGCTGCACCGGCGCTCCTGGAAGCCATAAACTGATCCGCTTCTCTCACTCAAATGATGCATTTTGAAAACAGAAAAAGGGAAAATATTTGCAATAAATAGGGACAGATATAGGAAAACAGGGAAGGATGGTGGGGCCCTTTGGTTTAATTTGCATATGCAATTTATATATAGACAGCCTGGTAAACAACAACTTCAGAAACATCTTTGTGTTGGTCTTAAAAGGGTTTTAAATTAATTTAAAAAATCTTGTTTGCAGGGTTTCTGTTTGTGACATCATCATTTCTAGGAAGTTGTGTGTTGCTGCTCTTAGAAATCAGGAAGTGAATCTGTTTATGCAAAATAAATCAAATGTTGGTTTGAGCGTAGAACTATTTATTGATGTGTATCTGAATAAAAACAGTAATGACTTGAATATTTTAATTAAAAATTCAGTTTAATTAATTTCACTTTTAGTTCGAAATCCAGATTTTCTTTTTTTGCCAAACATCAGGATCCTATAGAAAGTCTAGATTAGTCAAGAAGATTGTACATAGAATACAAACCCAAGAGTTTAGCAGCCTGTCATTTGGCAGGATGTGAATACGGGTTCGATAACTCTGGTCTTTCTGAGTTAGATGTGGCAAAAAAAGAAAATCTAGAAATGAAAGCAAAATAAGTCAAACTGACTTATTAATGTAAGGAAATGGTTTCAGAACGAATTATAAAATTTATGAGCAGTTATGACTCAGTTTCACATAGAGATTAATTTTATTAAAATTCACTTTGACATGTTTTTCTAATTATGCTTAAACAGATTCACTCATTCAGGATTCACTCAAATTAAATTCTGTTTCTGATGGGACCAGTTTTCTCTTTTAGATGGTTGAATTTGTGTCTCAAATCAGAATATTCTTTCTAAATGACTAATTTTATTTAAAAAGGGAACCTCCTGTACACCATGCACACATGTGCTGATATAAAGGGATAAAAAAAACAAAGTTTTCCTCCAGTAAATGTAATATTAACTAAACAACAGATTTTTCATATAGAAGTATTGAGGAAAAAATACAGCAAACCAGGGTGTAATCGCAGCAGAGAGGTGTGCTACGCGTATGTGGCAGCATTTTAAACGGTTTATTTATACTAGCTTAACGCCTGTACATACGCTACACTTCGCCTAATTAAGGTTCAAACTCTAATTTCAGAGACATAAACCATCCTGTTTGGCAAGAGAGGAACAGAAAATATCTGGAGTCAAAGTTCCTGGAAAAAAACCTCATCATGCATCATGCTGGTGAAGATTCTCAGTCATCCAGGCCATAGTCTTTTCAAATAAGTTAAAAACAATCCACTGGACTTTTGTTTCCAAGTTTGAAGACATTTAGCTTCCCATTCAGGAAGCTTTTTCAATTCAAAATGTCTGAATTAATGTTGAGTTCCTAGCTTTATACAGTAGCCCAACAAAGCCTTGTTATGGCTTATAAATTGAACCGGACGGACTGGTCCACCCCTTATTGATGCTTTCTAAGACAAAACAAGGCTTTATTTGGGCTACTCTATTAAGCCTGGTACTCAATGCTAATACAGACATTTTGAATAAAAGAAAAAAGCTTCCTGGATGGGAAGCGAAACATCTTCAAATTTGAAAAAAAAAGTCCAGTGGTTTGTTTTTTAACTCAAGAGGAGGGCGAGGTTCCAATTCTAGAAAATAATATTGAAAAGCTAAAGCTCTTTGTTCCTGTTCACTCGGTCAGAAGCTCTTTATAGTTTTAAAAACTAAAATATGGGATTTCTAATCAGTTGATCAAGACAAAGACTTGATCAAACCATGGGAGGTATTATTTCACCATTTAACCACTGATTGATTTCATTTCCCATGTAGTGAAAGTTCTCTGCTCAGAAATCCTCTGCCATGGAGCGTAGTTTGCAGGATCTGCTTCAAATTTGCTTTGTCATGCATATGTGAAGCCGTGCCGCTAATGTCACAGTCTGTAAACACTTCTGTTGTATTTTACATCTTTATGATAAAAAACTGCTGATTCATTCACAAACTCCAGTGCCGTATCTACAGGCACTGGAAAGTTTAGTGGAGGGAAAAGGTGCAATAATGGTAAAGCTAATAAGGTTAAGCTAAGAGAATTTGGAGCCCAAAGAACCACCAAACTTGGATTTATCATGAACATGAGGTGCAACAGCTGCAGTTACGGCTTAACTACCCCTGAATGAGGAACTGCATCGGACCGCCTCCAAACTAGGCTGCCAAAAGAGCTGCAGTATAAAAACTGAAGCCCTAAACATGACTTTATAAGCTGTAAGCCATAATTTACCATAAATAACCACTTAAAATGGGTAAAAATACCTATTTTAATTTATTGAAATAAAATTTAAAAATAAAAAAAACTGTTTTATTGATGTATTTAAATAAAGAAGAAATTAAAAAATGTGGGAAGAGACCTTTGTGGAGTTGATTCCTGGCAGTAATGTTGCAGCAGGGGGCGCTGTTGTGCTACTAAAGAACAGCAGGAACAGAGGCCAATGTTTCTGAAACAGTGAAAGACACAAAGCTCAGATGATCTCTGCTCAGAGACGTTCCTGGACCGGTTCTCTCTGTCCCCGCTGCAGATCGCTGACATTTCTCGCCCCTAATGAGCTCCAGGACTGTTGAACCTTTTGAAGGACATTTTGCTTCATCAAATCTCAGGGTGACATTTCTGTAAACATATAAGGGATATTTTTCAAACAGAAACGTAAACATTAGATCCAGAGTTCTGTCAGTAGCACTCGGTGGTGTGCAGCAGTTACAGACATGCAGCATAAATCTCACCTGTTTTTGTTTTTCCTGTCCTGTTGCTTCGGTCGGGGCTAATCTGTGGCTCCTGCAGCTGCATCTCTTTGGGCCAAATGATCAGATTTATAATGAAGATTTAGAGTCTCTGCTTTTCTCCAGAGTTTAGTTTTTTTTATGTTTTTTTTTTTTTAAGTGCTTGCTGTTTCTGATCATTATGCCTTATGCTGACTCATGCTTTTGTTGTTCTTTAATGACCAAACCTGAAGGACCGACTGCTTATTATCATTAAATTCATTTTATTTTGCATTAAACTTTTATCTTTGTTTCTAGGTGGAACTCCTTAGAAAACGTTAAAATAAACTGAAGATTTTCTCGCTGCCCCATTTTAATGTTTGATCAACGGAAACGTTATGAATCTTAAGCAGCAGAAGAAATGGTTGATCTAAAAAAAAAAAGGAAAAACTATTTTTGCATGTTTTTATTTTATTAGTGCCTGTTTGCCTGAAGCTATGCTGAAGTTAAGACGTCATCAATTTATTTAGAAACACAAACCGCATCTTGATCTGAAAGCAAATGTGCATGGATTATGAGATGATGCATGCTTTGATCTGTTGCTTTCTCTTCATTTGATTGTATAATAACATCTAGTTTTTAAATGTCTATACTTAAGGTTACAGAATCTTTGACCAATCTAAAGTGTTTGGATCAAACATTCATTTATGCAAATATTTTATTTCTTTTAAACATCCTCAAATGCTGCTTTTGTCTGTCAGAGGAGGGAAAAGTTGTTGCACGGCTCTGAAAACATCCTTATTGAATCCTTGTTTTTGCTGTTTGTGATGTTTCGATGTTTGATTTTGGATCGTTTCTGTTGTCACTTAAATGTTAAAGAATAAAGAGCGGTGATTTAAGAAATTTTCTCTTTTGTTTTCATTAATTATATCCTATGTGGAAGAAGTGAAACTTGCTATATACAGTAGGCCAACAAAGCCTTGTTTTGGCTTAGAAAATTTGCAAATTGAACCGAAAACAGGTCATCCCCTTAGTAATGTGGAGATGTTGAGGTCTTTGTTAGCCCGCAATACCCGATACTTACCTACGCACTGAAAAGGGGGAGTCGTTAGGGTCATTGTTGGCCTGGCTGAGCAGGCGAGATGTCCTGGTCCCCTGTAGGCGATGAGGATTATGATAGCGGGAATGAATCAACTCTATCGCTGTGTTGTAGGTTTTTGAGAGCTGAAACCTAAACCAAAGTCCAGTGGTTTGTTTTTCTACTTTTTTGCAATTTTATTGAAAGGCCAAAGTACAATAATACAAGAATTGTCGCTGAAGAGCGCAGACACATTTCATGAAAAGACATACAACAAACCTACAGATTAAATAAAAACAGGCCTTACAGTAATAAATTAGTAAAATATAGTTATAAAATCTATTTATCTCTCCCCCCATTCAACCCCTCTAAATAGGGCTACCCAATTGAAGCAGGTTTACGGTTCATTGATCTTCTCTTCCGTTAGTGAAACATTTTGGACTCCATGTTATTTCAAACTCTTCCAGTTCACCACTGAGGAGGTTCTGGATCCTCTCCAGATGCAGGTTATCGTTCATTGCAGAGATTCTGGCTTTTAAAGTCTTTTTTTCCAGATTGAGAAGATGAGTCCAATGGACAGAAGGTTTCTGACTCTTTCAGATATGCCAACTTTTCTTAGACTCAGAATAACCAAAATTAGATCCAATTTGATCTTAAAAGCATTTGGTAAATTTGCTCTACAGAAATTCTTGTAGAAATATATGACTGAGAGATAGATCTGCATCTGCCTGATTACACTTTCCATAATCTGTTGGTGGAATTAGTAACATTTTATGTAGTTTTATCTTTTAGGAGTGGGATCTGTTTAGAAATCTTTACTATATGAGGTCAAATCTGGCATTCAGTGAACATTAGAATATGCTATAAAGACTTTTCTATCAAAGCCCTGAAGTGTTAACCTCAACCGCAAATGACTAAACACAACTACTACTTAAAAAAACAAACATTGAATATTAGTAATGTCTGCAATATTCAAAACCACATAGAAGTTTAAAAAGTTAAGTTTTTTTTAACTCTTATTTGGTTCCGCTCCTCCTAAAGCCAGACATGTGCACAGATAGACACTAGGTGTCGCTAGAGCACCGTCCCTTTTCCCCTCTGGACAACAAAATGCCCTCTTGAAATACATTTTTTTTTCTTTTTTTTTAGTCTTTTGCCCAAAATAGCATTTATGAATTTGGTTAGTTCACAGCATCATTTCTTTAATGGCCTGTACCAGGTGCCAAGGAACAGTTTAAAATGCAACTCTTAGATTAAATTAGAATAAAATGTCATTTAAAGAGTGTCATAGATGTAATTATTGATTTGCTGTGATGGTTCCTGTCAGGGACTCCCT